ATTATAAAATACAAAGAAATTGTAAATATTAGTAATAAAGTTATTATTCCTAAAAATAGCATTTTTTATTTGCTTTATTTTTATTTTAGATTTTAGTTAGAAACTATATCTGAAAGTAGTTTTTATTCAATATCAGACATATTTTTTTAATTATTTAGTTTATAATGAAAATAAAAAAATATATAAATAAATGTATATATATATAATATATATATATAATATATATATATATATATATAATTTTTTTAATTATTTATTTTATGTAAAAATATTAATCGAATTAATTTTTTTTATAATCAATTTTTACTTATATGTATTTTTTCTTAATAAATAAATATTTTTTTAATGTAATTATTTAAATTTATCATATTTAGGATTAATAACCAAATTATTTTTAAAACATTTTTTTCCAAGAAAAAGGAAAGATAATATTATTCAAATTATTTATTTATTTAGAAAGAAAGTATTATTAATATAAAATAATATATAAATTTATATATTTTATATATATTAATATATTTATTTGTTAGATTTAATTCATATATACCTTATTATATTTAATTATTTTAATTAAAAACATGAATAAAAAACATATAAATTTTATAAATTTATATTATTAAACTTATTTATTAGATAAAAATGCTTATTTTATTTATAAATATAATATTTTTATATATTAAATAAAAATATACAAGATTAAATTAATCAAAAAAAAAAATTCTAAAAATAAATAAATAAGAAAAGATAGTATATAAAAAGTAATGGAAAATTATTAACGTATAAGTGATTAAATATAATGCAAATAACATATAAATGAAGAAATAGTTTGTATAAATATAGTGTTACCAGGTGATAAAATAACAGATGAACAAGGATATATGAAGTAAAAATTTTAATTATAATAATAATAAAAATATAAATAAAAAAATTATTAAAAGTGGCCATGGAACCTATTTATAAAACAGAGTTATATATTCATCTATTATAGGTATAGTTGAAAAGACAAACAGGTATTTTAAATAAGAAAAAAAATTGTCATATTTTTTTGTGTATTATAAATAGATTATTAACTGTAAATCCTTTAAGATCTTTTTATATTCCTTAAGTTGGAGACATTGTAGTCGGAAGAGTTATTTAAGTATTTTTTTTAATTTCAAATTAAATTTTTAATATTAAATACATAATTAAAGATAAGTTAAAAAAAATGGAAAATAGATATTGGTTCTAATTAAAATGCTAATTTGCATTTAAATTCAACGTATATTCCATAATAAGTATTACTTTAAATATATTCTATACAAACATTACTTAATTAATTAAATATTAAAGAGAATAAAAACAGAAGAAGATGAATTAAATATGAGAAAAATAATGAAAGAAGGAGATTTAGCATGTGCGGAAGTGCATTGTATTTAACAAATAAATATATTATATATATATATATATATATATATATATATATATATATATATATATATATATACAATATATATTTTTAAAAATAAAAGCAATTAATTAAGATAAAACAGCAAATTTACATACAAGAAGTTTGAAATATGGAAAAGTATTTTATTTTATAATAAAATATAAATAACATATATATATATAGATTGAGAATGGATATTTAGTAGAAGTATATAATAAATTAATAAAAAATCAATAAAATCATTTTAAATAATTATCATGTGGAATTAATATTATATTTTCTCATAATGGAAGTATTTGGATTAATAATATAAATAGAGATGGGGCAGTAAAAGAATTAAATACCGAAATATAAAACAAGCCGTATTCTATTGAAGAAAGAGAAAACATGTGCATTATTGCAAATTTGTTGAAACTTTTAAATAAAGAATAAATAAAAATTAGTACTGATTTATTAGATGAATTACATAGATTCATTAAAACAAATAATATTTAACCTGAGTATTATATTTTAGTATATATAATTTTATATATTTTTATTAGTTAAATTATGCTTTTAAACTATTAGAAGAAAATATAATAATTTTTGAAAAATAAAATAGAAGTTAATTTACCAAAAGAAATAAATAAATTAATGAAATCTGGTGATTTTCTTAATTTTTTTTGAAAGAAAATAAATATATAATTAATGTTTTTTAATTATTTTATTAAATAAAATTATTATTTATGATATAAGCGCCTTTTTTAATATTTTATATATATAAAAAAAAAAAATATTTATCATATATTAAATATTTATAAAATAATAAAAAATTATTTATATATAAAAAATAAATAAATATTACAAGAAGTCAATAAAAAAAATTAATAAATTTGTTAAAAAAAAAAAAAAAATTGAAATTATTTAAATAATTAATATTTTTTTAAATTAATGAAATCATTTAAATAAAAAATTTTTGGAAAAGATATTATTTCTTAAACCTCTAAAAATAAAAAATAAGTATTTATTATTATTTTTTTTTAAAAAAAATAGTTTATATGCTATATTTAAAATATAAAATATATATCTCTTAAATTTATATAAACTAATTATTTATTTATTAGCTTATTCGGAAAGAGATACTACTTTTGATATAGCATCTTTAGTAAGACTATTGCTTAATAAATAAGCTGTTGTCTGTCGCAATAAGACGCATAAATTCAATATTTTGGTTAAATAACATATATTATTTTTTATAAAATATAAAAAGTTATTAAAAATAAATTATATAAAATAAAAAATTTTATGGTTCTTAAATATATAATAAAATAATTATAATTTTATTTTAAAAAAAAAAAAGAAAAAAATATTTATATTTTGAATTAAATGATTTATTAATAAAAATGTAATAATAATATAATACTATTGTTTAAAAATTATTTATGTATTTATTATAAAAAAATTAATAAACTTTTTTTGTAATTGTTAATTTTTTTCAAAACAATATAAATAAATAATTGAATATATTATATAATATATAATATATAATATATATATATATATATAATAATATATAATTTATAATATATATAATTAAAACAAATATATTTAGAATAGGATACAATATTTTATATATGCAATTAAAAATAATATATATATATACATATAATATGAAATACTTCTATCAATAATTAATTCTTTTAAACAAAAAATATAAATATAAAATAAAAATTGAAATATTTATATATATATAGTGTTTTAGATTAATATACTATCAAATCAATACCTTACAACAAAATAGGCAAATCCATCAAAAAGATTAAAATATTCATAAAAAAATATAAGAGGCATTAAAAAACTACAAACTATACCATGTACATAAATTTTCATTTTCATGAATTTCTTATCTTTAATAGAATATTATTATTATTATTGTTTAATAACTATGTTAGGAAATTCTATAGCAAAAAAATCTCCTAGATTTTAACATTCTTTACTAATTTATACATTAATTAGTATTAATTATAAACTGTCTTAAAATAAAACTTTTACTGGTAAATAATATTGATTTTAATTTATATTTTATGGAAAAAGAAGGTTATAAAATTTTAAAAATTTATGTGATTTTCCTTCACAATATCCTTCCCACATAGATTACCAATCCTAAAGAGGTTATTCGTTTATTATATTATAAGCGCCTTTTTTGTATTTAATGCAGCTTGCTGATTTTAGGTTATTTTTATATAATATTTCCGCATTCTCATTGATACTTATATTTTTTTGAATCTATAAAAAATGTTCTTCATTCAATTTATAATTATCATAATTAACTATAATATTTATAGGGAAAAAAATGTTTAATTATTTTTCTTAATTATTATTTTCACTAAAATCATTCATTTAATCAAATATTACACCAAAAGGAATGTGAGGCTAAATATATTTACCATTCCATTCTAAACATATATTTTTTTCATTTAAAGGAATAGGAGCATAATCTTTAAAAAATTAATGAATATTCTCAAAATATATTAATGGATAATGAATTCGGTAAAAAAATGTAAAAAATGGAAAAGGCTCAGAATTGTTTGATATTTAATTTTAGTTTAATGTTAATTTTATTGGAATTTTATTCTACCAACTTACTTTTTGAATTTCATCTTATTCATCAATTTCATTCATTCTATATAAAATTAGCTTTTTTATATTTAATATATGAATATATATGAATATATATGAATATATATGAATATATATGTATATATAAATATATATATATATATATATAATACATAAAAATATTATATATATTTATATATATTTTTAATTTATTTTTATATTTTTTTTTTTATATATTAAATATATATATAGATTATAAATATATTTTTCTTTGTTTAATAATTATTTTTTTAATGTTAAGTATACATATATATATTATATATTTTTTTAATTAAATATATATTATGTATATACTATAATAATATATATATAATATTAAAATAAAATATTATATATTAATTTATTAAATATTAATTTGTATTTTATATAAACATGATGATATTATTAATATTAATATTTATTTAGTTGATAAAAATATTTATTAAAAGTTAAATTTAATTACATAATTTATATAAATTAATATTTATAATATTATATTAAAATAATAAAATTAAAAAAACTAAAAATAAAAATAATTAATTATTAATAAAAATATATAAATTAATAACATATCGTATATATAAATAATTTTAATTATTTTTTTGAATTTAAAAATATTAATATTTAATTAATTTATCTATTTATTAATTTTTAAATATTTTATTTTATATATAAAATATAATTTTTTTTTTTTAAATAAAAATTAAATAAAATATGGATATATAAAATTCAAAATACGATAAAGCATTTTTAAATAATCTTTCTTCTTACAAAAGTAAGAAATTTAAATAAATAAAAGTAAAATAAAATAAATAAAAAAGTTTCACCCGAAGATGGAGCTAAATATTTAATAAAAAAAAATTTAAAAGAACTTATATAAAAAGTAAAAAAAATAAAAAACCCAAAATTATAAAACCATAAAAGGCCATTAAAGAAACAAACGAATTTACAAACACAAATTTAGCAAAAAGTAAAGCTTTATCTTAAATTTAACACATGATAGTATTAGCTGAATCTGACATTAAAGAACATTTAAAAGACATAGTAAAAACTCTTGTTAAATATTTAGATTACGAAGATATTGAAATACAAAATACTGTAAAAAAAATATACTAAAAATAAAAATAAATATAAAATTAATAAAAGACAAAAAAAATCAGTGAATTATTAGGAATATATTTAGAAATAGATATATATATGCCTTTAATAATATCCTCAATAAACGATGAAGAACATAAATCAGCTCCAAAATCTCTGAAAAAATTACTTGCAGTTCTTTCCATGATTATCCGAGCTGAAAATCCAAAATCATTAGAGCCTCATTTAGAAGCAATCATGAAAACGATCATGAGTATAGAAAAGACATTTGAGTATTTTTTTATTTTTTTTCTTAAATTAAAAAAATATATATAATAATAATATTTTTTTATAGTGATAATGAAGACGTATAAGGTGGTTTATATTATATTATCAAAGAACTAATAGAAGTTGGTGGGGAAAATATAAGTATTTATTGTAGACCTATATTTTCTTTACTTTTGACAATAGAAGCGACTACTAAAATCGGAAGTGAAAATAAAGTATTTTTTTTTTATATTTAAATATTTATATAAAAAAAAGGATGAAATAATAAGAACAATGTCTAATTTAGCCAAATTATGTGGATATTAAAGTATTTCAGAATTACATTCGAATGAAGTTTCAATGCTTTTAAATGAGTTTACATAAAATTAGGTTTTTTTATATATATATATATATATATATATATATATATATATATATATATATATATATATATATATATATATATATTTTAATTATAAAAAAAGTCATATAAATCATGGCAAAAATACTCAAAAGATCGTTTAAAATTCGATATTATAATAAGAAATTGTGGAGAAGGAATCGAAAAATTCATGGACATAATATTAGAAATTTTATAATCATGTGTAGATTTAAATCAAGATGTTGAAGTACGTTTAGATACTTTGATTTAAGTTGAATTTTTGATATAAACTCCTTATGCATCTGTATAGAAGAAATTATATGAAAATTCATAAATAGTTTTGACGAGAATAATAATACCATCAATAATATGGAGAATAGGAAAACCTCAAATAAAAATTAGAAAAGCAGGAGTAATAAATCTTTATAAAATGATTGAAAAAAATCTCCTTGATAAAAAAGTTTTAGTCAAATGTTTAAATGAACTCATGCCCCCAATAAAAAGTTCTCTTTCTGATGATTGGGCTCCAGATTTGAGATTAGCGGCTTGCAAACTTATGGAAAAGATATTATTAGAAGTATAAAATGATATTTAATATATTTAAATATCTGAAAACTATACAGCTTTATTAGAAAGATTAGATGATTCCTAAGATATTATAAGAATTGAAATTTGTAAATCTTTTATTGCTATTTTTGGGGCTAAAGCCGTAATTAATTTTATTATTATTATTATTTTTTTTTTAAAAAAAAATTATTTTAATTTTAAAAGCTTAAAGAAAGTACAACAATTTTTGATTATATGATAAAAGCTATTTTTATCCATTTAGATGATTAAAATGAAGAAATGTAGATGGCAGCTTATAATTCTTTGAGATTTGCAGCACATTTTAACTCTTAAATCTTAAAGAATGAAGTTTTTATTTTTTATAATTAATATTTTTTTTTATATATATATATATATATATATATATATATATATATATATATATATATACATATATATATATATATATTATAGGCTACTTAATCTATAAAAAAAATGAAATTCCCGAGAAAATGCTAAGAATTGATTAATCTTGCAGATTAATTATTAAGTGAATAATAAAGTGACTAAATGGAAAAAGAATAAGAATAATAAAAATGATTATTTAATAATATAAAAAAATTAACAAAAAAAAAAAAGGAAAAAAATTATTTATGTATAAAATATACAGTTTTAATAGTGATAATCTTAAAATTAATAATAAAAAAAAATATTTAAAATAATTATAAAATTAAAATAAATATTTATTCAAAAAAATATTTCTTATCTCTTAAAAGAATTTTATTTATGTAATATCATTTATAATATCACAAATATATTAGTTTTTATCGACTTCTATTTTTTTTATTTAAAATATAAAATAACTCTTTTATAAATATTCTGATAAAATAAATAATTTTATATAATTTTACTAATAATAATAAAAAAGAATATATATGCATTTTAATACTTAACCATTAAATTTTACAAATTAACCAACTTCTCATAAATTATATACATAATAAGGATATTAATTTCAAAATTCTAATTAAAATACATATATTCAAAACCCTATTTAAGAAAACAATAATATAAATTAAAGGTTTATTTTTATAAAATATTAAAAAATAAAAAAAATAGAAAATTTTTTTAGCTTCAAGAACTGAGTAAAGTTTATGAATTTCATATAGGATCTCCAATAATACAAATAGATGAATAGTAATAATTAGCAGTTTTAAATATAGATTTAAATTTGCCTAATTAAGTAGTTCCTATAAGAATGTAAAGAAAAAAAATGATAGATTTATATCAAAAAATATATATTAAAAATAAAAAAAGAGAATTAGATTAATAATTCCCTTTATCTTAACCAAAAATTTATTCCAGATTAAAATTTGTTCACTAAATAATTAAAGAAAATACATTAAATATTGTTTTTGTAGATTTTTTTTAATGGAACGATTAATTAAATACATCTTTAGTAAATTTAATTTAAGTAATTCATAAAAAATTTATTGAAAATCCGCCTTAATAGGAGTAAAATAAAAAAAAATTAAATTTACAAAAAAATTAAAATAAAGTTAATTAGAAATTCTAATAGTATAAACTTAATTTTATATTAATCATATAGAAAATTAATTATAATAGATAATGTAAATAATATTTTATTTTTTATGTTATACTTATGTATACATTATTCATTAATTCATTTATTAGATATGAAAATAATTAATATAATATTGATGAAAAAGTTTAAAATATTAAAATCGATTTTATATAATTAATCAATATTTAAGAATAATTAATAAATTTGAGTAAAGAAAATAATATTTAACTTCAAAAATAAAAGATTTTGTTAAAAGAATTTAATATGTTTTATGAACAAAAAAAAAAAGTACTAATTGAACTATTATCAAAGCAAAATGCTATAAAAGAAGTTTTTTATATATATATTATTTTTTAATATTTAATCATTATTCATAATATATAAAGAGATTCTGTATGATGAGTTTTATATAAGAAATCAAAAAGAAATTATAATCATATCAAAATGAGTTAACGCAGATAATCTAAGAAAATGAAAATATAGAATAATAAATTTTAAAATTTAGATTAAATAGAAAAGATTATTATTATTTTAAATTATTATAAGAAAAAATATAAATTGATTAATGATTTTTAAAAATAAAAAATATGATAAAAGCAATTCATTTTTTTATAGTTTTAATTATTTGTATGATATAAGATTAAATAATTTAATGAAAAAAAATTATAAGATAAATATATAAAATATAATTTATAAATATTAAATAAAATTTTAGATTAATATTATAAAAATATAAAGATAATATAAAAAAATTGAATAATAAAAAATAAAAAAAAGATATAAAAGATTATATAATAAATATATTTTATAAAAAATAATTATATTTATTTAAAAATATAATATATTTTTTTCATTTTATATTTATTATTATTTTTTTGTTTATTATTTTTAAAATCTTTATTTATTATTATATACTAAAATTTATAAATTATTAAAAATATTTACATAAAATAAAAAAATATAAATAAAAGATTAATTATAAATACTAATATATAATATATATAAATATTAATGTTTACAAATATATAAATAAATATTTATTTATATATATATATATTTTTTTTTTGTTATAAATTTATTAAATATTTTTTTTATAAATTATATTTAAATTTATATATTTTTTTTCAATTTTTATTTTTATTTTAATTACTTTCCTTTTTTAAAGATTATTTATAATTTTATAAAGAATTATCAATCCTTTAATCTTTTTTTTAATGGATATTTTATAAATAATGCGGCTATTTATGTTTGCTTTAAATTGTTTAGATTTCTTTATTAATTTTATATTTTTCTAAATAACTTTTTGTATCTTTTAAACTTTCGACTATATTAATTTTTTTATTTTCCTTATTATTTTTATTATTGCTTTTATTTGATTTATTCAATTCTTATTTATATATTTTTTAATCCAAATCTTCTTCTTTCTTTTATTTTTCTTCATCTTCTTCTTCTTAATTACTTAAATTTTCACTTTGAAAATATGAAAAACAGTTATCTATTTTAGTATTTAATTGGTTAAATAATTAATTAAATCTCCCATTTTTGTAATTTAAAATGAAATTATTTTAATCCTTTTGATTATCTTTATAATTAGTTTCTTAATAACTTTAACAATCATTTAATGAATTCAATTAATTTTTCAGGCTTATTTATAAGAGCTCCATTTATATATCGATTCCTAATTATTAAAATTTTGACTTTTATACATCATCAAAATATTGATATGAATTAAATTAATTAAATTATTAATATTGTTATGTATTGTCGTTAATTATATTTGATTAGTTAAATAATGTAGATGTGTTTGTTCTACTTTACATAATTGCATCGTCAATTTAATTTATAAAATATTAATTATCTATATTACTAAATGATTGGGATGAATTATTCATAATAATTATATATCAAATATTTTTTTATTAATATTTATTTTGAAATAAAAAATTAAAAGAAAATAATTTTATATTTTTGATGAATGCATTTTATCATATAATTGTATTTATAATATATTTTTAAAAAAATCAATAATATAAATTAATATTTAATACTTTAAAAATATATTAATAATTAATAATATAGTAAATTATTATTTATTGAAAAATATAATAATCTATTAAAATATTTTATTTATTTTATTATTTAAAAAAAACCAAATATTCAATAAATAAATAAATAATATAAAATATTTATTTAATTAAATTTATTTTATAAAATAAATTATATTAGTTAAAGAATTATATTATAAATATATATTTTATATATAAATATAACTTTTTATTTTATATATTTATATTTATATTTTTTGAAATAATATATAAAATACAAAAATAATAAATCAAATAAATATAAATTAAAAATAAAAAAATAAAAATATTTTAAATACTAAAATTAAATTTAAAAAAAGCAAAATAAAATTTTTAATTAAAAATAATTATAGATTAAATAAATTGTTATTTAATATTTTTATAATATATTTAATTTTAAAAAATATAAAATTAATAATTAAATTTATAATAAAATTATTTTGTAAATATACAAAATTATTATAGTGCGAATTAAAAATAATATAATCGTTTTTTTACTTATTATATTTTATATTTGTAATTAAAATTGAATAATAAATAAAATATATATATATATATATATATAATTATATATATATATATATATAATAATATATT